TCAGTTGTTTGAAATTGTGTTTGCCATTTCCTTGAGTATTCATTTGTCCAGATTGTACATTGTAGTGGCCAGCAGGGGTAAAACCATTTCCTTTTGAATTGAAAGGTCCTCGTCCTCCACGACCCTTGCAGAGTTAATACAAACTGTCCAAATGAAGGATATGGAGGTCGGTTTAGCAAGCATTGCAAGGGAAAAATTCTCATACCTTGGTCCCAATCCTTGTGAGAATTGGAAGACTTTGTCAAGATCAGAAACTGGCTTTTTGATAGCAGCAAGGTTGTCTCATATAGACTTAAAATCTCTGACATATTCATCTAGAGATCGTGCTCCCTTTTTAATCTTCATTAACATACTTTTTAGATGCCCTTCTTTTTCCACCGTGATGGGAAGTAATTGTGTTTGAAGAGATGTCCAAATCTCATAAGAAATGCTGTTTCAGCCTAAAAAATAAGACTTCCTCTTTCATAGTGCCAAGAAGCCAAGAGTTAAGGATGCAGTCATTGTTGAGCCACAGGCGGTGCCGTGGATTTGGACTTTTCATTCCCGATTCATCATCAATTTCTTCATCAGGTTTTCCTTCATTGGTGAGATGATGAAGAATACCCAAGCTTCGAACCAATGGAAGAATTTGTGAACGCCATAAAAGAAAATTTGATGTGTTTAGCTTAATTGAAATTAAGCTAGAACACTGATGGACGTGTTGGATGTTCAATTGTGGTTAATTTTTCAAAACATAAGAGGAAGAAGACATGGTTTCAGGCTTGTGAGTTTGTGGCTCAGATACCATGAGAAATTTTCAGAATTATTTGTAAAGGAAAGTGTTGATTTCATTGAGTTTTTCTGTGCATGATATATACAGCAAGAGTTCCTAATCATATTCAATTAATTACATAGCAATACAAGGAAAATATTATAGCTTTTAGTGACAATGATCCTAGCTGGGAATGATTTTTAAAATTGTGCCATTGACCAACATTGATTGTGTTTCCCATTCTGTATATCTTTCCTCAGTAGATTGTGTTGTCGTCCTTTTAGCCATTTCCTAATCTTTCCTTATTAGTGCTTCTCTCAACATTGATAAGGCGCAATCTAGACCATCAACCTTGAAATGATGTGATCTAATGGTTGAAATTAATGTTGCCAAAAGATGCGACCATAGAAAGTGACATAAAAATCTATAAATAGGATCCTCTTAATTCCATTTTCTTCACTTCAAATCAATTCTATATAATTGAGTTTCGTGTTCGATATTTAGTATTCGATATCCTTCGTTCTATAAAAGTATACTCAAACATTAGTTCATCTGACAAAATTAATATTGTGCTATATTATTTTGGAAGAAGCGTTGTATCTTAGGAGACGAATGTTCATTTGATTTTGTTAGCACCATTGTACGGGTGCAAGATCTTTTTTAAGGAGATTTACATTCGCATACCTCACTTTATTTCGTGTACTTATAATTCTTATATATCAGTAAGTCGATATTTGTGCGCATATCTTGGCTTCAGCAAGTCAAAATATTATTGATATTTTACATGTATACGTCACTATTTATCGTCTTTACATACACGTACTTTTATTAGAGGAATATGAATTATGTACCAATTTTCCAAAAGGAGATCTATGCTGCTTGGTGGAGATTGGTGCTGTACTGGTTCCTGGTACTTGGAGCGTGTTGCTGCTTGGGTGATGGTGGTGGTCAGTGGCCGATGGTGGTGATTGTGGTTTTTTATCTTTAGGTTTTTTTGTGTTATCCGTCAGTTTGTGTATGTATTTGTGTGTTTGTGCGTGGTAAATAGAAACAGTATTTAAAGAATAAAAATGAATGGAAAGTAGCTTTGAAATTTCAAAAGAAATGAAGGCTCTGGTTGTAATATTTCCACTAAAACTAAAAAGAGTACTAAGGGTTGTGGACAAGCACTAAACTTCTGTCAGCCATTGAATCTGATATACTTGAGTTGGGCTTTTCAAATTCAAGCACACTCCAATGTTAACCCGTTGGGAAAATCCATTGAAAAATCGACACTAATAAAGTCATCCATTCTTTTCCAAGTCAATTGTATTGGGACGTAAGCACACACCCCTATGTTGTTCATGTAATAGTGTTATCCATCCATAACTAATGTGTATGCAAACCATTACCAAAGTATGCAAATGGCTTCAAGCTATTTGAGTATTACAAATAAAGCAAGAGATTGTCATTTTAATAACAAAGCTTGCAAAAACGGTTTTCAAAGCATTCCTTTGATTGATTTACTAGTCATACTCATTGTCATCATACGTCGATTGTATTACTTCTCCGTCTTAGAAAACTTTATTATATCACAAATTTAAAAATTCAAAGTTTCGTTTTAGTATCCATGAACATATCCAAAAGCGTCCCAACATATTCCCTAGTGCTCGAATGGGAAGGTGGGGGCATCCATTCTTTAGTACATTTCAAATTCCATATTACTTAAATAATTTTCAATTGACTGTTAGGATAGATTTTTGTTCAATGACTCTTTAAGATGAAGCCAAGATTTGCTCCAACAATGTCATAAAACTGTCATTGAGTATGTGTTTGTCTTGATCGGTAATCAAAGAGTTGTAAAACCAATTAATGTGGTTCAAATAATATTATTAATAAATTAATTAAAGTGGTTTATTATTGTTAAAATTCTATTGGTGAGTTGAGAAGTGACGGTTTTTTTTAGCTATCCACTTTGATGGAAAGTGAATTTTTTTTTTTTTCGCATGACTCTTGGACTGCACGACCTTTGGACTGCACGACTCTTGGACTGCCTCTTTCAGCCTATAAATGTGAATGAAGTACATCAATTATTCAATTCAATAACAGTGAGGAAAATAGAGAGAACATTTTCTAGATTTTATTAGTTCCTATTTTGCAGGTTTAAATCTTTCAACTATTACTATGGATCAATTTATGTTTCTTGATCAATAAATCTATATGTGAAAGTTATGAATCCTAAAGATCTTGGTATTAAGGTTATATATTTGCTTACATGTGGTATCAGAGCCAAGTTAGGGAATTCTTGATTTTCCATTAAAGATTTTTTTTTTTTCGCTTATTGATTTATGGATCACGATCTAGAAGATAATTTGATGGCAATTTTTGGTTTCATTTTTAGCTGTTACATCAATTCCCCTTAACTCCATGCATCCATTAGTGCTTCTCATGTTTTTGGAATACCGTAGTGTATATATATACACTTCTGCCATATATGTTGAATTATTATTGGTTTGAGAAAAGATCAGTCCCTTACTTTAAATCTTTCTAATGACTGTTGGTTGACATATACAAACCAATTAATTGGAGGAAAGACATTACTGGTACTCATTTGCCTAAAGATTTTGGATTTTTATAATGTGTTTATTTGTTTATAATTGAATATGTGAGAATGATAGAATTTTTTTTATGCATCACAGATTATGGAATTATGCCTTGTTTATTTATCGTCAATCTATAAATAAACATTACGTGATAAATATTTTGTTT